GAAATCGTTAACAGTTTCAGTTACTCAATCCGCCTATTTATACTAATACAACTCAGCTAACTAATACAAGGTTTACCCCTAATCCTATATAACTGGTTCAGCTGAACCAATCCTATCTACCCAAGATGAAAAGTTATCATTTTCCTTAACACCAATTTTGACTTGTCAGACCACCCAGTTTAAATTGTTTAACATGGTTTTGACTGGTTTATCCTGGTTTTTAATTTTTCCAAAAACTGTTCAATCAGAGTATATTCCAAAAGTTTAGATAGTCGATTCTGGTTGGATCCAATAACCGGCCGACCAAATAAGGGTTTGATAACCCTATCTCTCCTTCCTTAGTCGTTAGTCCTTACTGTACATGGGCAACGGGCCAGGCCGCCCATGGGCTAGCATGACACAACACAGTTAGCGCATGACACGGGCACAGACACGAAATGGGCCGGCCCGACACGAGCATGAAGAATTTATGGGTCGTGCCATGCCTAAACTTCATGGGCACGAGCACGACACGGTATGTAAATGGGTTGTGTCAGGCCTAATATTTTCGAGACCCTATTGAGTATAAGAACAAACTTGGCATAAAATAAATATTTATTTGATAAAAAATAAATATAAAAAGGATTATAGGTCCAAATCTTAAAAAATACAAGTATAATAAAAATGATCTACTGCTATTAGAAGTGAACATAAATATATATACACGTAATTACTACCATGGTGATGACTGGTGTACGTCAGGCGTATACTATATGCCAGGTGATCTAGCCGTTAGATGTACTTAGATGAGCTCCGGCCAATCTCAACGGTCAATTTTTGTTTTTCATTAAATCAAACTTCGGGTTGGGGTTTAGAAAATCGGTGCCTGGGGTTTATCCATTAGAGGTTAGGGTATAGTATCACACCCCAAACTCGATTTAATTCATGGTCTAGATAGAGATATCTCACTAGTAGTACCTGACGTATAGTATACGTCTGACGTATGCCAGTCTGACCCACTTACTACCATAAGTAAAAATAGACGAAATATTAAACAAAGTCAAATCACACCTGCTATTTCAATTTTCTTTCACCCTTATTTGTTACATTCTCAGTTAATACTTTCATTCTCCGTCTAACTTGTTCCTTCTTTTTCATTCCCTCTTTTATTTTCTTCATTTTCATTAAACACGAATATATACACGACACGAGTACGAATAAGCACGACACGATTCAAACTGTGCCCGACTCTGGACCTTGTCTAACAAAATTAACAAATGAGCTGAAACGACATGACACGAAAACTAACGGGTCATGCCAAACACGACACGAAATAAACAGGCCCAAAACGTACCCGTGCGGTGCCGGCCTAGCACGACCATAGTCCGGGTAAAATACCTCCGGTACCACTAAAGTTTGAGAATTGGGACAGACATACCACTTAAGTTTGAATAGGGCGTCGGGAACCATTAAAGTCACCAAAATGTGCATCCGTCTAGTTTTCCATCCAACCCAAAATTTTAATTACTTTTTGGTACCCAAAACTTTTAAAAACATCCAAAACTATATTTCAACAAGTTTTTATCTAATATAGAAATTAAAAAAACCTTCTAAACATAATATTACTAAAATGACTAATCAAAATTTTCAATAAAATAGATAAGTTAGTAAAAATAATAAACAAATATCAAGAAGAAGAATAAATATATAGAATATAATACTAAATATTAAAAATCAATATTAGAAGATTTATTTAAATCACTAATCTGATAAGAAGTACCATTAAAATAGTTAGAATAGAATCTAATCGATCATCAATACATCAAGACCAAATAATGATAAATGGAACATAGTTAGAAAGAATTAAACATATTACAGTAATTGAAGAAAATTTAGAACGAAAATAGAACGAAAGTAACCAAGAAAATTATACAACATTCAGATGATGTATGAGAATTAAATATAACATCCTCATATTATTTATATCGATATAGAATTCATAGGATATATTTGCTTAAGCAAATTATTCGATTATTATAACACACAATGGTAATATAAAGTACTTATAATGATAATTGATTCTACATTTCCTATTCAAAAATTGGTTTGGTATCAAAATCTTCAAAAAAAAAAAAAGAGAATAATTCAATTATTAGAAAATATAAAAATAATTAAAAATACTTATAATAATAATTTATTTTAAATTTTCTATTCAAAAATAAATTTGATATCAAGTTTTCAAAAGAGGATATCTATTAAATAATAAAAATTGATGTTTTTCATAAGTCAAAAAAGATTTTTTACAATAAAAAAAGTAGAATGACCAATTAAGAAATTTAGAAAACAAAATATTCTAAGAATATTCTGTTAACTTTAACATAATACACTTAACATTAAACTTAAGTGGTACCGGGTGCACAAATAATAGAGTTCAGTGGGGAATGGATCAGGTCAGTAACCTTATGGTGAGTAACTATGAGTAACCTGCCCATATCAGCATGACATCAGCATCCTCTCTCTCCTGGAAAGCCTTTAATTTTCCCCTCCTTAATCTTTGACGGACGATTTCTCACTCGTTTTAAGTCGAAATTTAATTTTTTTTTGCACAGTTAGATCAGATTAATTGTGCTCTTCAAAATGATATCCACTTTGATATATTTTTCGAACAAAAAAAAATTGAGCCATTTTTTACCAGTCTATACCATATGGTATTGACTGGTATTGAAATAAGAGCATACCTATGGTTTGAAAAGCGTACCATGGTGGTATGAACAAACCAAGACTGTAGGATGATTGAATACATGATAGTAGAAGTATATTAATTGTCATTTACGACTTTTAACATTGTATACCATAAGATACCATAAAATACCACCCTGTACCAGGGTGGTATTGTATGGTATTTGGTGGTATTTTTTGGTCTTGTAATTTGTTCACCCAGAAATTTGTAGATCCAATAGATCATGATGAACTCGTCCCTGCTGTGCAAACGTTTTCAAAAACGAATGAAAAACGAAGAAGATACCATATGGTATGCAGTTGGTACCGAGAGGCCAAATTTTTTTTTTCCTCAAAAAATATTAAAAATTGAACTCATTTTGTAGAGCACGATGAACTCGTTCTATCTGTGCAAAAAAAATTAAAATCCGAGTTAAAACGAAAAAGATATGAGTCAATTAAGAAAGCTAGTGAAAATAAAAATGACCTTTAATTCTCCATCCTTAGATCTGGATTTTCTAAATGAAGGGTCCAGATTTGGTTATTGATGGGTGCATAACCATGGGTTATGCACCCTATCTTGAGCCAGTTCAGTGGTACCCGGCGCCAGTGGCGGAGGCAGGGCCTTTTGGCCTTGTCCCGGGACAGGGGTAAATTTTGGTGGAACAAAAATATGCCATATATATTTATATTAGTGATGGAACATAACACGTATAGGTAGTATTAGAGTACTTTGTCACTACAACACAATTCATTATTTGTCCGAAATTGACATAAAATTAATTTATTATACAATAAACGAAATTCCAATTGCAATAAAGAACTAATCGGGCCTCTTTTCTCCTTATGCCTATTCGATCTGTCCCCAACAACCCTGAAATTGTCTAGCGACAACGGCAATCCCACTAGTTTTGATTTACCAATTACAAATGCAAGTGTAAAAAGAGCATTTTCAGGTTTGAGTTATATTAAGAACAAGTTTCCAAGTCGATTTGGCGACCAGTTTGCTAATACTTGTTTAGTAAGATACATTGAAAGAGACTTATATAATAGTGTAGACAACGAATGTTTTTGCGCTTCTTTCACTATATGAAATTCCTTCGTAGTTGTTTCTGAAAAGTATGATAGTATAATTGGTTATTTTTAATTTATGAATGAATTATTTGGATATAATTCTTTTTTATTAAATAATTCTTTTATTAGATATTTATATATTTAAGTTATGCAAAAAGGACAGGGGTGGTTTGAAATGCTGGCTCCGCCACTGCCCGGCGCCCGGCTCAAGATAGGGTGCATAACCCATGGTTATGCACTCATCAATAACCAAATCTGGACCCTTCATTTAGAAAATCCAGATCTAAGGATGGAGAATTAAAGCTCATTTTTATTTTCACTAGCTTTCTTAATTGACTCATATCTTTTTCGTTTTAACTCGGATTTTAGTTTTTTTTGCACAGATTGAACGAGTTCATCGTGCTCTACAAAATGAGATCAATTTTCAATATTTTTTGAGGAAAAAAAAATTCTGGCCTCTCGGTACCAACTGCATACCATATGGTATTTTCTTCGTTTTTAATTCGTTTTTGAAAACGTTTGCACAGCAGGGACGAGTTCATCATGATCTATTGGATCTACAATTTTCTGGGTGAACAAATTACAAGACAAAAAAAATACCACACAATACCATACAATACCACCCTGGTACGGGGTGGTATTTTATGGTATCTTATGGTATACAATGTTAAAAGTCGTAAATGACAATTAATATACTTCTACTATCATGTATTCAACCATCCTACAGTTTTGGTTTGTGTCATACCACCATGGTACGCTTTTCAAACCATAGGTATGCTCTTATTTCAATACCAGTCAATACCATATGGTATAGACTGGTATAAAATGGCTCGATTTTTTTTGTTCGAAAAATATATCTAAGTTGATATCATTTTGAAGAGCACAATTAATCTGATCTAACTGTGCAAAAAAAACTAAATTTCGACTTAAAACGAGTGAGAAATCCTCCGTCAAAGATTAAGGTGGGGAAAATTAAAGACTTTCCAGGAGAGAGAGGATGCTGATGTCATACTGATGTGGGCTGGTTACTCATAGTTACTCACCATAAAGTTACTCACCTGATCCATTCCCCCGGCGCCCTATTCAAACTTAAGTGATATATATGTCCCAATTTGAAAACTTAAATGGTATCCGAGATATTTTACCCGCCATGTCTTACTCCTTAGCTTAGTGCTTTCCTTTGTCAGCCGGGCCGCGCGAGCAACCGAGTCGAGTAATTTTAATTTTAATTTCCATCCCATTGTTCTTTTTGTTTTTCTTTTGTCCATTTTGTTTTTCCCCCAAAATCGGCTTCATTGTTCGTCGATCTATCAAAATCTCCTCGTAGATTCGACTTCACGATCAAGTCCGGCCAACTTCTCAGATCGTCGTTGCTTTGTAGCCGGGAGAATCCCCAAGTTATAATCTGGTAAAGCTTCTACTTTTCTATCTCTCTTTCCTTCTCTCGATCGGATTTCTAATTATCTCCGAGCACGGCGCTTGATCTTTCTATCCGTTTACCTGGTTTTCAAATCGATGGATTGTTTTGCTAGATCCATTTCTTGCTGATGCTTTTCCTTTATCGATCGACATTGTCTGACAGTCTTACTCAGAAATCTGTTTATTAGGGTCAAGAAATTTTCATTACTTGCTTCTGCTCGCCTGTTGTTGGGATACCTGGTAATCGATGCCTCTGAAACTTTGTCTGGGTTCTTGAGTGATGAAGTATTTGAGCTGTTCTCTCGAATTTTTTGCTCTGGCTTCTTGTGATTCTAGTTCTGTTTGGTGAAAATGATGCCTTGCATGAAAGCTTTGTCTAGAACTTTGCTGCTGTTTTGCTATGCGTTTTTTAGTCTCGATCGAGTACAAGCCTACATGGCAGAGAGAGCTTAACAGTGTTTACGTTTTGGTGCTTGATGCATTGTAGTGTATCAGACATATCTGAGGAAGTAATAGCTAGAAGATGGTGAAGCTGACCATGATAGCGCGTGTTACTGATGGGCTCCCGCTGGCTGAAGGTCTGGACGATGGCCGTGAAGTCAAAGATGTTGAATTATACAAACAGCAAGTCAAGGCCTTGTTCAAGAATCTTGCCAACCGCCCGAATGAGCCTTCAAGGATGTCTGTCGAGACTGGTCCTTATGTCTTCCAGTATCCTATTGCTCACTTATTGCTAATGATATTGGCAACATGTAGTTGTCTATAATGTGTTCTTGCTGTTAGGCTTATGAATTTGCTAGATTTATTTATAGAATTGGCATTGGTACATTTTTTGAGACATGTAGTTGTTATTCCAGGATCCTACTGCTCACTTAGCTAATGATATTGGCAACAGGTAAGCTGTCTATTCAAATAGTATGTTCTGACTGTTATGTTTGAACCTGTTTTTTTTTTTTTTTTTTTTTTTTATAGAATTAGCTTGATTTATTTATTGGATTGACCTAGGTCCTAGGTACATGAATTTTAGACGCTAGATAGACATCACCCTTTTCAAATGGCATCAAGTTTGTAAAGAAACAGACTGGTGAAGTAACTTCCTTTTCATTATATCCATGTAAATAGTTTAGAGAAGCCTGAACTTTTGACTGCTTGGTGATAGTTGAAGTGACAAACTTCGGTGTTGCTTTTGTGCATTTGCTCAGGGTTATACATCAGCTCTTATTGGTGGGTAGTTTTGTTGTTTGTTTGGAGTATGTTTATATAGTTCAATATATGCATGCACGCACGCTTTGAAGTTCCTTTGAGTTCTTACTTGTGGCGTGATGTTGTATTTTCTTTGTTTGAAGTGATTCTTTGCTTGCACTTTCCTTGACCTGATGGCATAGTTACATCATCGAGGGACGAGTATGCTACCTTACAATGTGTGACCGTGCGTATCCGAAGAAACTTGCCTTTCAATATCTTGAAGACTTGAAAAATGAATTTGAGCGTGTCAATGGGCCTCAAATCGAAACTGCTGCCAGACCTTATGCTTTTATCAAGTTTGGTGAGCCCTCTTAACCATATTTCTGCAAGTTTTGCATCTGCTCTGTCCTTCTGTTGAAAAATGGTTTACGTGCTGCTCCTGCAGATACTTTTATCCAGAGAACAAAGAAACTGTACCAGGACACACATACCCAGAGGAACATTGCAAAGTTGAACGATGAACTGTATGAAGTCCACCAGATTATGACTCGTAATGTGCAGGAAGTTCTTGGGGTTGGTGAAAAGCTTGACCGTGAGTTTCCTGAGTTCTTGCGTGCTATTATTTCTGTTTACTAGCAGTCCCATGGAAACTGAAATTTTGTGCTTTATCTGTATGATAACCATGTACTTGTATTTTGGTGTTGTGGTGAGGGAAAGAATGAGGGAAAGAATCTTACTGCATTTGATGACTGTTAAGTCCTCTAACTTGACGTGCTGTAGAGGACCACTCTGATTTATATTTGGTCACATTGCAGAGGTGAGTGAAATGTCCAGCCGACTAACATCAGAATCTCGAATATATGCTGACAAGGCTAGAGATTTGAACAGACAGGTATGTTTCTCCGGATTATTCCCTACTAAACGATCTTTCTCTCGATGATGCTGAACCATAACGAGTCGCTAAACCCGTAGAATTTGATAGCTCAGAATAGCTCTTTTCCGGAAAGTCATTTCGTGAAGTAAACATTCATGTAGCGATTGGACAGAAACGCGCTGACATGGCAGAAAGCATAGATTCACGTCGCCTCTAAGTAGCTAGAAATCTTCCCATTTAGGAATGGAGTTTCGCCTGCTTTCCTGATTCAAGTTATCCCAGGAAGAGGGCAAGAAGGATTAGGCCTTGCTCAGGCTTCGCATGCTGCATCTAAGAGTTTAGTTCCATGAGACTGAATAACGGCGAGAAGGAGAATTCTATTTCTTCTTCTATTTCCAAGTTCTAGTCCAAAAGGCTAATTCAATCCCACTCTTGGGTGACCAAAGAGAGTGTGCTGTCTTTCTCTTCTTTCTTTTTGAGTTTAGTGACAGTTCATCAAAACAATTTTCCAAGATTGCTAGATCCAGAGCACATTTATTGACCCTATGGATTCCAGGAACCACAAAAGTCTCTTGTCTAATTACATAGTGAAAAATGAGTCCTATTTCTCTCTTGCTTGAGCGGATTAGCCGATTGCTTTCGTTCATCAGAAGTAGAGGTTTCAAAGTATCTTGATGAACAATGTAGTTATTGAAAGTAGCATCCCCTGTTCAAGCCGACTTCCTGTCTGATACATGTGTTTCTTGGTGCAGGCGTTGATTCGGAAATGGGCTCCAGTTGCAATCGTGTTTGGAGTCGTGTTCCTCCTCTTTTGGGTCAAAACGAAGATCTGGTGATCCTGAAATCCAGAAATTGTTTGCACAGACATGCTGGGTGTCTCGGCATTGCTATCGGTTCGGTTATGTTCATGCGGTGATTTTCCAACTCAAGAGACAGAAAGAACGGAAATGGAGACATGTAAATCACCTCGGTTATTTGTTCAAGGACAGAATTTTTCTGGTTTAATTAGATGCCTCACCAATTACCCCATAGGAATAGTGTAAAAGAGAGACCCTTGTTGAACAGACTTAAAAGGGTACACACCGTGCTGAGCTCAAGTAGTTTTATATACTAGTGATAGTGATGCGTTATTGGTTCATATTTCTACAGTTGCACGCTCGTAGCCATCGAATAGCTGCAGTAATCTGGGTGGATTCATTGTCTGAATCTTCCTCCCCCTTTTATATGTGCTCATGTGCTGTCTCTGCGTGCATGGCTTTTGTCAGTTCTTTTGTCAGTTCGCTCCCCAAATTCATGAACTGGTCTAAGCTTTTGAATCAAACTGGGTTGGCTGATTGGATTTACACATAAATGAAAAACCTTGAGACCTGGGCGAAAGAAGAGCTGCAATGGCAATTCTGGGATCAATGAATCTCACTGATAATAGAGTTTTGGCGTCCGAAACCAAATGAATTGGATAATGCCACTTTGGTGTACAGCCTCTCCTTTCTCTTCCCAACCAGCACATCCTTGTCCTCTGGAACCATTAGAAACAAGAATTGCTTCTGGACATACACTGCTTTGTCAGGATTTTCAAGGTTAATGTTCGAACGAATCCATCCTGTTGGAATCGCCTGCATTCACTCATAAGGATCAAATCGTAATATCACATCACCAAGGTTTTGCAGCAGAAGAAAAGGGAAGAGGGTTTTACTTTGCGTTGACAGTTGCTATAGCTTCAACAGCACCTGAGGCTCCCATCAAATGACCAATTATGGACTTTGTGAAGTTCACTCTCAACTGAGGGTTTTTCTCCAAAGCAATGAATCAGTGTTTGGCATACTGTTAGGTCGCCTGTTCGAGTCGATGATGCATGAAGCATTCACGTAGTTCGCATCCTCTCTTATTGCACCAGACTGAGCCAATGCCCTGCCTATGCACATTGCAATTCCAGTTCCTGTTTCCCATTTCAGACTGAATCAAATATGACCATTGAAGCGGAGTAACATGAACAAGAACAATCTTCATCGCTTACATTGAGCAACCGCCAAACAAAACTAACAAAGTATCACAAGCTAGCCTAGCTGAGAAGAAAACTTGGTGCAGCACAAAGAAAGAAGTCACCAGCGGGCTCCAAGCCCAATTACAGGCCGATTATTATATGAGGCCTAAACCAACCAATTGAAGTGGGCCTTTAGATGAAACCCACTGCCCCCAGCAAGTAATTTCCCGCCAAAAATTCGGTCTTCCCGGGTTCATGGGTTAGCAATAGCAACATATTCCCTTACACTAATGTGCTGTTGATTGGTAAGATTTTATTTGTTTAGAATGTTTGATTGAGCCTTCTTAAGTTGAATGCTAAAAGAATCTATCACTCCATTCAGTGATATCAGTACTGTTTAGAAGTGTAAAATTGAGTTGTAAATTGTAATGGAGATCAGGACTTGGGAGTTCTCTACCTCTGTCATTGAGTCAGCAGAGGAGGTTGAGAAACTGAAACTAGACCAATGTAAAGCTTACTTGAGGAAGCATGGACTGCGATTGACTGGCTGCAAAATCACACTCATACAGCGCATAAAAGAGCATTTTTTTTAGCGTAATGAATGTGATTGAGGTCACTGGTGATCACGGGTCAGTCCTCTATTTGGTTCTATATTTATTATACATACTAAAAGCAATATTGATCATCTATTTATTTGGTTTAAATCAATTCCCACCTTACGTTGTTTTCACATTTCTTTTTGTTTTAAAGTACGAAAAATGGAAAAAGACAAATCACATGTTGAGTATGTATTTTCTTTTGGATAGCTAATGTAATGGATCTAATTTAAACCTAAACTAAATAGTTGGCTATAGGTATGACCCACAAGTGATATTAGTCAAACTTAATTTGACTCGCAATATATTCGGTTTGGAGTATACGCAAATTGTGGGTTCATTTTGTCATCCCTAATGATACCTTCGATAGAGTTGGAAGGTTCACTACATTTTTTGCAACTCGATCTTCTCTTCTTTGTTTCCTTCACAACACATCCTTTTTGGTTGCATGGTAGGAATTATGTAATGTTTACAATAATACACGGTAGAACTTATTTTTTCCTCTTCTAAATTTGGCTTAGAATGGAAGGCAAGTAAGCTACGTATTTGTATGTGGTCAAGGCCAAGAGATAAGACAGAGATCTTGTGCGAGCTCCACCACCACAATCATATACAAAAATCTTTTTAAAAAAACGTCATAGTGGAAGGAATTGTGTTTTTTATTATTATTATTTATTTATGTGATGGATTAATAAAAAATAAGTGAAAGATTATATAATTGGGAACTAAATATATAAAAAAAATGAAACTTTGCAATGAATTCAAGATGAGTAACAAAACAAACAGATGAGTACAAAACTGCAAAATCTAACCCCAGAGAGGCGAAAATACTCCCACCTACTCCACTCCTTTCCTTTTCTCTTCTCTCTATTTCCCTTTGAGTGTCTTCCTTCGCTCGCCTACTTTCACCATTTGGATTGCTTTCACCATTTCTTCAGGTAGTTACTCTAGCTGGCTTACTGGTTCATCGGTGTAAAAGACCTACTGTATGTTGCAGCTCAATTGTTCGATGAAAATCATTAAGTTTGACTTTTTTTACTCTATAAATTTAAGTTCTTTGTAGCATGAAAGTGAAATGATTTTGGAACCACTGATATGCTTAACTTCCTCTCTTGGGTGCTAACGTTTGGAAGCTTATTCAGTTTGAATGGAGTGGGTATTTGGGTATTATTCAGCAGAGGTCTATATGCTTGCAGAAAGGTGGTATAGTTTTCGTCAGCTTGTTTGATCATTCCTACTTCTGTTAGTTTCTCATCTAGTGGTAGAACTCTGAGCTGTTTGTCCAATCAAGTAAAAAAAGAAGAAGAAAGTTTGAATCTTTTGGTCTTGAGGTCTAGCATCAGCTACAAATAGCTAATAGAACTGTTAACATCAGGAATCGGATAGCCTTGTTTCATCCGTTTCGGATTGATAATCGGGTGATCCCCGGCTGTTTCTTTGTTGATTGTGTTTCAGACCAAACAATGGCAAGCGAACCAGTTAACGTTAGCGAGTTTGAAGCATTGGCTAAGAAAGCCCTTCCCAAAATGTACTTCGACTTCTATGCTGGGGGAGCTGAGGACGAGTACACTCTCAAAGACAACGAGGAGGCCTATCAGCGAATCACGTAACTATCCTGAATCACATGTATGCTTTAAATTAGCACAATGATACCCATTGCTAATCATCTCTCCCGGCCTATTTCAGGATTCGTCCAAGAGTTTTGGTGGATGTGAGCAGAATAGATACTAGTACTAGCATACTTGGTTACCCTATCTCGTCGCCTATTATGGTAGCGCCAAGTGCTCTTCACCAGCTCGCAAATCCTGAAGGTCTCACAAACTCTCTCCAATATCCCATTTTCTAATTTGTCTTTTAGATTTTAAAGTTACAGGCTTTCTGTTGTGTTGTAGGTGAACTAGCCACAGCTAGAGCGTCGGCTGCATCTAACACCATCATGGTACTAAGAAAAAACCGATGTACTGACTATCCCACGTGATCTTTCTAGCATTTCATCAACTGTTTGTTAGTTTCCGTTCCAGATTCTGTCATTTTCTTCCAGTTACAATGTGGAGGAAGTTGCTGCTAGTTGCGATGCAGTTCGTTTCTTCCAACTATATGTATGTACCCTTCCTCGAGATATTTCCATTCCAGCTCGCAATTCATTTACTGAAGATCTTAAGTATAGGTTCTTACGTGATTAGGTGTATAGAGGACGACACATAGCAGCCAACTTGGTGGAGAGAGCTGAAAGGAGTGGATATAAGGCGATTGTGTTGACAGTTGACTGTCCAAGACTCGGTCGTAGGGAGGCGGACATTAGGAACAGGTGGGCTTAAAGAACATTCTTAATTCTAGTTACCATTTGGTTAGACTTCATGTGCATTAGGTCAAATTTTCCTGATTTATCATTCGAAATGTTGTTTTTGAAGTTTTACAAGTGTGAATGTGTGTAAATTCTGCAGAATGATTGTGCCAAAGTTGAAGAATGTTGAAGGCTTTGTATCGAATGATGTTGATGCTGTAAGTATATTATGTTGAACTGAAGAACCCTTTTCTTTATGATGCTTGATGATCCTTCAGTAATGCATAGATTAGAAAGCTGCTTTCTTTTCTTTCACAAAAAAAAAAAAAAAAAAAACTCTGGATTCGGTTAGTTTCTGCTTATTTTCATTTTCCAGATCATAGGATGATTGAATTTAACTTCTGTAGGGTGGCGGCTCGAACTTGGAAGCTTATGCGAATTCAACGTTCGATCCTACTTTAAGTTGGAAGGTGTAGAAACATATTACAGTCGGAACATTGATTTTATTTTCTTTGTTTTCCTTCACAATATAAAGTTTCACATAATTTTTTGTTGGGCAGGATGTGGCATGGTTGAAGTCCATCACAAGCTTGCCTATTCTGCTCAAGGGAATACTCACTCATGAAGATGGTAAAAAAAATCAAACTTACTGACAAAAATGCAATATCTTTAAAACGATCATGCAACATCATTTTCACATGCTTCATTAACCCTCATTTGGCAGCTCTAAAGGCCGTGGAAGTAGGTGCTGCAGGGGTTATTGTCTCTAATCATGGAGCACGGCAGCTAGACTACAGTCCCGCCACAATCACCGTTGTGGAAGAGGTGATGGCTTGATCTATTTATGACCAAGTGAGACATGCTAGTGTATATTGACTATATAGCAACAATCTTGGTTGCCAAAATGTAGGTGGTTCGTGCTGTCAAAGGAAAGATTCCAGTAATTGTTGATGGAGGAGTGAGGAGAGGAACAGACGTGTTCAAGGCATTGGCATTGGGTGCACAAGCAGTCCTGGTAAGCATTAATTTACCCGGTTTTTGAACTCAGAAACCACATAATGGCATGTTCATGCTCAGCTTCCTAATACATTGCTGTTAATCTTATGATCCTACACAGGTTGGAAGGCCAATCATATATGGGTTGGCTGCAAAGGGAGAGCAAGGGGTGAAGCAAGTGATTCAAATGCTGAAGGACGAGTTTGAGCTGACAATGGCGCTTGCAGGATGCACGAGTTTGAAGGATATCACAAGGAGCCATGTGAGGACTGATCGCGACAGATTTCAATCAATGCTCTAATTGCATACTACAGAGACCAGAGGTCTTCATTATCCATCATGTTCTTTTGTTGTGATTCATAAGAAAGTTGAGGCTGTTGGCTTTCTGCCATCATTCTTGTTCTTTCTGATTGATAATAGTTGGCCTTAACTATTATGGCACAATTTTGTCAATGATCAATAATTTCTTTTTGGATATGTGAACCAATACTAGCAAACTATTCGTTCTCGTAATATTTATGTCGTGCCGTCTATATAAGCACCAACTAGATCCTAATTGATCATATTTGTGTTACAGTATCATATTCCAAACTCGGGTTTGCACTGAATTTCATCCATCGTGGAAAAAGTAAAATAGCTCCTTCAGCTTAAATTGAGCCAAGATAACTTCAAAAACTAATCTCAATGTAAGTCCATAAGGGTGAAACGGAACAGAAGCTTTGCAGCATGAAGTCTAAACGAAGGCTAGTCGGCACTCGGCAGCTAAAAACTAAGAATTTGAGTCATTAAACCACAAATAAGTTTCTGATTAAGCTGCAACTAAAACTACGGTAGAGATCAGGCACAAGCTAGACATTGTTAACAGAATTGCTCTTGTTTACCCCTTGGAGCTCCATGGGAGAGTTTGTGATACTTCCAATAGAGTTAACAGTCTGGGAACTCAACTGCGGACTGGCAGGGCAACCATCTGGGTTACCGCCGCTCATGGCATGGATCGCCCCTGAGCTCATCTGTGGACTCATTGGAGTTCGGGCCATTTGGTGCTGGCTAGGATGCTGCAGGGGTTGCTGCTGCAGGGGTTGCTGCTGCGGCTGAAGGCCTATGGTCGATGGTGAGCCCACTTGAGAAGGCGAAACAACAGCCTGAAGAGACTGAAGCGACGAGGTCGATTCTGGCTGCTGCAACTGCTGATTTTGCTGCTGCTGCTGTAACTGCAACTGCTGATTTTGCTGGTGCTGGTGCTGGTTCATGAACATATTCATTCCAGCCATCAGCTTTGGCGGGCCCATAGGACCCATTGCGCTCCGCTGCTGCAGCATGTGGCCCATGTTGATGGGCTGATTCAACATAGAAAGCCCAGCCGCGGCAGCAGCACTAGGGAAGGGCATCTGCCTAGCGCCTGCCGGCATTCCAGCAATACCTGACCGCTGATTTATTCTGAGCTTCTGGTAAGCAGCCTGTTGTTGAGTCTGCTGGATAGCGTTGATGTTCTGCTGTGACTGGCCAATGTTAATCGGGTTCTGACCCATATTCACCGTTCCAGATATTCCAGGACCTGCGAGCCCCCTTGCAACTCCCACTGACATCGCACTTCCTAGCGCTCCTAGCCCCACCATGTTGTTTCCCATTCCCAAATGCACTCCCAGCCCCATCATCATTTTTTTCTGCTGCATCTGCTGCTGTTGCGCCTGAAGTTGGGCCTGCTGTTGTTTGTTCAAGTGCATGCTGTTCGAGTTCTGGCCCATAGTAGCATTTAAATGGGAGAGTGGATTCGATGGAAGCGCCATTTGTTGTGGCCTCTGAAGCTGCTGTTGATGAAGTAAGGCATTTTGGTTATGTTGCTGCTGCTGTTGTTGCTGCTGAACGGATAATGGAATGTCAAGTTGCTGCTGTGGCCGAGATGGCGAGGCGCCAGATGAGGGACCTTGAGATATCTGTAAGGCCTGAGAGTTCCCAGGTGGTAGCATTCTTGGATTCTGGGATGGATTTAAAGAAACATTGTTGCCTTTAAGAGTCGGCTTCACATCATTTGAGGCGGCCTGCTGAGCAGCGATAGCTTCATTGTATTGTTGTTGGTGGTGCTGCATCTCCAGCGTGGAATTGTTGCCAGTCAGAACTGGCGGTTGACTACTCAACTGAATATTCATCATCCTTGTTGGTTTTTGTTCAATGTGATTCTCCACGAGATAGCCATCACGGCTCATCTGCATACATTAAGAATGAAACACCTCAGAATCCATAACTGGGAAAAACGAGTAGAAAGATCATTGAACTAGACGTTGATTTTACGTACCAATGTACAGAATTGTTTTGCAAGCAAATCGGTATGATGCTGCAGGAGAACCAAGATAAGGATCAGAGCATTGAATATATGAAAAATGAAAAGAAGACCGCCTATGCAGTACCAGGTGGGATGAAAAATGATAAGAAAAGAATCACTCAATAATAATAATTCGGCCAAATATATAGGTTGTTTGGCTGATGATTTACCTTGATGGATTATGTCCAAAATCTATGGCTAGAGAGATTGTTTCAAATCCATTGTTTGGAAATTCATAAGTCCAATTTACCCTATAAATTAATTACGGGACACAATCCACTTACCACAGTCCATCATAACAGTCCATCAACCAAGCAATGGATTTTAGAACAACTAGTAGGGAGGATCTCGAGCTTAGTGACAATAAAATTTTATGACCAGTTGATGATCAAGAATCTGAACCAGTTATGGGAATTCAAGATGCCAGCAAGCTGTAAAGGAAAGCACACAGAGCCCTTTATGAACAAACAGACTTACCGTATTAGGTAAGGTAGGAAGATACTCCTCGGCAGAGAGAATATCGCCATCATCCAGGTCTCCATAATGCATAGCCACAGTACCATCATTCGACTTCTCCATCAGGACCATTCTAGCACGTGCTTTTGGGACATAAGCAACAACATTTCCTGCAGAAAATGAGGTGAATGAAATAGCTGATACATAGTAAAAGGTTCACCAAAATCTTTTCATAGTTGATTTTGCAAAACATGAAACAAACCTTGAAGAACCCGTTCACCTTGCATAAAATTCATAACTCTCATCTTGGGAGCATTCCTGCTGCCACCAACAAGTGAATTTGATAATTGCTTTTCTTCAGAGTCGTCTTTGAAATCCTCGTTATTGGATGGATTTGATAGGCAAGCCCCAAGAAGCTGAGGATTACATGTTTTTTGTTTCCTTGGGTAGTCATCCACTTTGTTCTTTTTACCGTGCAACTTATGCCTGGAATACAAGGAGCAAAATTTAGCCGAGGAATTCGAGAGCGGGCAGCAAAATTGATTTTCACATTGCACCACCAACTGTTCTGTGGTAAACATAAGAACCATTTTGAACCCATAATAGATATACATGCAATGGGGAAAAACAATGCATGCAGGGCTAATCAGAAAAGGTGTCATTCAACTATGCGAACTTTTGCTATGAAACCAGTTCTAATGTAAATAAAGCACTGAACCAAAATAATTGATGCTCTATTAGTCACTCCATTCATTTTCTCATTAAAAGCTGAAATACAACTTTTATTCTTATTTTTATCTTTTTGTCCCAGGAAGCTGAAATTTATTCAAAGTTACCATGGAGAACTTTTCGTAAACGAATTGAGTGACAAACCTAATCTTATAAGCCGAGACCAAAGACAATTAGTTTATTTTCCCAGTCAATGCAGCAGGAGAATATTTTGTGGTGGACTCAAGTTATTGAATCCAGCAAATACGAAGCCTTCAAAGTAAACAGACCTTGAAGCCACCATCTCAAGCTTTGCAAACCTTTCGAGAAGAGCCATATGTGCTGCTCCAACCACAGGACTAGCCGCGTTCATGTTGCCAACGCTTGCAGGTGAGGCGACTCCACTCATAGCAACAGTGGTCCTGGGTACAGAATTTGACCTCCTTTTGCTCACAACTTGAGCAGGCTGCTGATGCAGACGTGTCAAGGAGTCATTACTGCTGGAATTCAAAGAAGCCGTCCTCCCAGGAGTGGAGGTAACTACCGACTTATCCTTCTGCGACGAACCAAGAGCAGCAGTCGCTGCAGAAACTGCTCCAATGTGAGGCCCAACTGAGTTACTTGAGAATTCCCCAGATCTCGATGATAATGGAGACTGAGCCAAAGCACCTGCAGATAGGAGTGATTCACTAAAAATCCGATATGGACTAAATGACCAATATAAACTGATTTTCATGCTTTCTTTGTGGGTTTTGTTGAAAATTTTATTTATCCTTACAATTTTTGTTTTTGCTTTTTCCTCCAATTAACTGAAAATACCATGAAGCCAAAACCAAAATCCGCCATTGTAAAACAAAAGGACTTTCAAAGATTATTTTACCACTTCAGTTACCGGTTAACTGGAAAACTAAACCTCATTAGCCACCCCTACCTGCAGACACATGAGGACTTTGTACAGATTTCCTCTTTGGAACCTGCTGGTCCTCCTTCCTTGTCTCTTGGCCGAAATTGCTCCATGCTGTTGCCGGAGGGAAATTCGGTCTCATCATATGCTGGGGCAGTCTTTCCATCTGCATATCACTCTTATTACCCTGACTGTGCTCCGGTCCTCTATCCAGCTTGTCAGGATCAAACTGCTCTTCCTTCACACCGAATCTCTGATTGATGACCCCTTCAAACATTTGTGGGTACTTTTGGATCCCGACATGATTAGCATACTGCATTCCTCTAGCCATTACTTGCTGCTGAAGAAACGAGTTCCTCCAGCTCATATCAGATGTTTGGAGGTTATCCGTTTGTGTCAGTTGTATCCCATCGGGACCTACAGTATTCATCCTTGATCTCTTGTTAAAATTTGGTAATTGTGGTGTTTCTTGTCCATCTGGATTCTCTCTTTTACCATGCAGTGAAGCGCCGGCATTCATATTATCACCATAAGTGACCATCATCTCTTGCCCGCCAGGGGAAGATGCAGAAATATATACAAGAGACCCTGCTGAGCCGTGATCCTGAATGCCCCTAGCATTTCCAGCTGCAGCTTGATACCTTTGTTGTTGAGAAACTAAAGGTATTGCTTGAACATTGCCATCTTGAAAGCTCCTTGCCCCCACACCTAGCATGCTGCTTGTACCGAGATTTGAAGCAGTAAGATTTTCATTGACATGATGCTGCTGTGTCATATGGCCTGACTCGGCAAATCTGCTGTTGGAGCTTTCTGGGACTCGATCTATGCAAACTTTCTTCCCATGGAGCCTGTTTGTAGACATCACAGTTACATTTGCCATCTGCCTCAACCGTTTCTTCCGCAGGCTACTCAGATTTAAATTAAGCTGCAAGTATGAGTTGCAAATAATTAATAAAAAAAAACTTAATACATTCCTCCCACAAAACATCATATTTATTCAGATATTTTTTATTACTCGAGAGGGAAGAGGGCTAGCAGAGAGCTTATCCAGTTCAGGTGTGGGATCAAGCGAAAGTATCGGCTGCAAAGCCTTCACTATCCTGGATTCAACTTCCTACAACAACAGGTAGAAACAAAAACTGAGACCTGATGGCTGCAGATATATAACAGGAAGTATGAAGAATAAGACTTTAGCATTACCATCAGATCACCGTAGGTCCAAGAGTTATCTGAAATCAGAGGGATATCCTTCACCACATTTTCCAATGACATCTTAAGGCGCACTTTATTCATAGTAGGAGCTCCGCTGAGAGATGGCATACCAGAACCTTGCTCAGTAGCACAGCTTCGATAATCTCGCACCTGCAGAACATGTCACCATTCTGGAAACACTCAGTGATATATCAACTAATTACGCCTTTTTATTACATGGTATATACATGAATGTTGGAACAGACTTAACATACCTAGGAAACACACTCACCTCACATACAAGAGTTCCATTGGTGTACTTGGATGGTATATCATCCAGAATATCTCCAGGCAACCAGCCAGACTCAATTGCCTGCAAGTTCATATATTGGAAAACAAGAAACTCAGTAAATTGAGAGAGACATAAAGGTGGGGAACTTTAAAAAATGCAGAATGAGAACCATATGTGTATACTGGCAATGGATCACTTGCCATGTTGCCTAAACTAGCAAAGGTGAAATGGGTTTTACCAAAGGAATACACAAGCAAACTATAAAAGTTCTAACAAACTTTAAAAAGAGCACTAGATTGAGTCAATGTCCGAAATTGATCTTTCCACTGAAGGGAAAGCCTACTTAACGAGAGACATGTCCACAGATAGAAAATTGGATTCCAAGATGACCCAGATTTATAACAGAAAATCAATGTAGTTGAAAAGAAACAAGAATGAGGTGTCCTTTACCGAAAGTATAGTTTCAGAGGCCCTATCATATAGGTGCAACACTTTTGAAGCATCTTGAAGGGGACGCCTGCGCGCCGCATCATTCTGAAAATTCAGAGGCTAATGTAAGCAAAATCAAACAAAAGAAAGATATAGCTCTTAAAAATCTGAGGAATATAGTGACAGTTTAGTTAACACACCTCTGGGGCTTTTCCAATGGAATATCCATCTGGATAGAGGTCCAACGTGAAGGCAACTTCATCCTCTGGAGAAAACATGAAACAGCAGCAACCATTCAGAAAAAAATGAATAGCAGCAACATCCAGTCCAGCTGAAAATCAATAGAACCAAGGGGCTAGCGCAAAAAAAATCATTTACCAGAGATCGGTGTACTTGAGATGCCAGCTACATCCTTAGTGTCCTATACCATACAAAAGTAACTATCATTAAGGACAAATAAGAACTCGAGGTGCCTGTTTATCTACATGAGAAAACCAAAAAGGACTCAGAACTTAAAAAATCAGAAAACATTGCTCAGTTTGAGAAAATGTATATATCCCTGACTTCCCAGCACTACAGCCCATACCGGTGGAGAGCACACATACACTAGCACAAACACAAACACGGGAAATCCCTAGAGCTCCAAACATTCCTTAGCCATTTTTAACCAAACACCTTGACTACAAGAATTTGACAGAACTCCCCACATGTAAGTAAAAAAGACCGATCACATCTAGAATTTGGATATTCATTCCCCCAATTCCTTTAAAAACAAAGTTCAATCCTAAGCAGAAATATCCATCGAAGAAATCAGAAGACATCCCATTTCCCCCACACAATAATTAAGCTCAAGCCGAGTACCAGTAGTAGCTTCAATTAAAGCAAGAGCCAAAAAATGCACACCAATCAGAATTCAGTTCCTCCCTCCCTCCTCCCAAGTCCAGTTCATTCGCCATTAAAGCGGATTAAAAACATGAAAATTACCACAATCCTTCTCTTTGACGACGGATTTCGGGCGCCAATCAACGAGGCCTCCTTGGAATTTCCTGATGCCTCATTAAGAGCAACTTCTTCTGGCTGAATCACAGGCTTGGGACGGAACCTGGAACCTTTACTCGAGACCTTAAACGAGACACCCATTGAAGACTCAGAATGGAGGCTTCATCCGAGCGTCATTGATCGCGGGGAAGTTGAAATGAGAATCGCGGGGGAGATGGTGAAGTGAAGTGAACTACTACTACACAGATAGTAATACTAGTACTACTATCCAATTCAATTCTTCGTTTGTATTGTGCTCTCCTCTAACATCTGTATACAGCAACTCAGCTAGAGATGGATAGGAAAGAAATTGAGGTTCGCAGTAAGCAGTTTGGACGCCGAGAAAATTTTGAAGAACGGTTGAAGGAAGCTGAAGGAAGACGGAGCTGAACAGACGGAGGCAACTTATAGCTTGCGACTTCTTTCTCACGAGTTATGTTCCGACTAGGCGACTACCGTGATGAGATATGCTATACGCCGAGTGGGCCTTGGGTTTTATATAACAAGATTTGGGCCATGGGCTTGTAGAAAAAGTTGGGTCAGGCTGACAATCAGGCATGCCAACAACAGGGTGAACTAGGGCTGGGCATGTAGGAGGATCACCCACAGGTTTGGGCTGATCCGCCCGCATTTGACTAGAATTTCATTATGTGGGTGGGTTTGTGGATGAGCGACGGGTTGCGCTAGGAGTCATCCGTTGGGTGACGGCTGAAGAACAAAGTTTTTGACGCTGGTGACTGAAGAGTAGAGACGTTAGACGGAAACTAGAGCTTCTCTTGGAGATTGAACCTCAATGCCAATATTCCAATTCACGAGCCCCTCTTCTTCACTTTATTTTCCCCTCTAATTCCTATGCCTAGTCACCTCTCTTTCCTTCGTTGAATTATTGTACCTAGTTCCTTGCACATGATAATCATCTCCATTCGTAGAAAACTCTTTCATAATAGAATTTCTATCCAATTTCATAACTAATTCGACATTTTCTTTCCTATTTCATCCTGTTGTTTCCACTCGATAACTCTCTCTACCGATTAGCATGTCAAGTTGACTCCTTTATATTATATACATTGGGATGTGGGTGACCCGCAAACCCACCAGCATCATCCACCATCCGCTCGACCCAACCCAAGACTAAATGTGGATGGGTGGTGGATTAAAAATCGTCAATCCGTTTAAGCGCGGTTGGGTGCGTTTTATGGTCAAAATTCGCCCAACCCACCCAATGTCCACCCCTAGGGTGAACCCAAGGATTAAAAAATAGTATCGTATTGACACTTGAATCGCAAAATATTCGTACGGAAGTCAAATTCAGAGCGGTTCAAGTAACAGTGGTAAAAACTATGTTGACCGACTTTTAGAGGTTGAACTATGTACAGTGATAAGTTAAGAGTAAAAAATGCGGTAGAGCCCTCCTCTCCAACACAACTCTAATTTGTATTGTTGTGGTAATTTAATTTCATTTTTATCAGCCTAAACAAGCTTTCTCATTGTGAATGGTTTGGTTTGGTCACGATGAATCGATGATGCCCGACATAAAACAACGCATAGATCTCCTTGTATTGCTGTGGTATGCGAAGTAACAGGAGAGACAGGTTGATTTGTGGAAGAAAGATTTTCTTGTGGCCATTATGTGCATTAGATTGTGGCGCTAGGTGTTTTAGGGATTCACGAGGTAAGATAAAAAGTAACGTTTGCACTTCGCAACTGGAGTTTAGTTAGAATTAATTTTAGGATTAATTGGTGAAGTTGTAAATTTTACTTTAAATAAACTAGTTTTACTAGCACGTTATTTAAGCAAAAAAGTAAAAACCTAAAGCTTGCAAATAGTGAAAAAGATCATGAGAATTTGCCGAGGTTTTAATTACTGCTAGCAGCTGCAATCAGTACAAAAATACTACACTACAACAACAGCATATACCCATTCATTTTTAGAGTTCGGTCGAAAAGTGGATGGAGGTGACTTGCATCAGGAATATAACCGTAGAACAGTGAATCTTTCATGCCTTGAAGTTTGTACATGAGTTATGTATATAGTGATGGGGTGTTTCTTTTCTGAGTCACATGGCTATCTTTGTAAAGGCTCTCTTCTGTTTCTCCCTACTTTCCTTCTTTTACTTTCAAATTTCGGTTCTTGCCAATCATGGAGCATGAGGTGATTTTTTCTTTATTTGTTTTTCAGTTCAAGCTCTGCATACCTCCATTCCAGCACCTCCTGCCAACTTCAAATTGAGGGATGATCATGTTTCTGGAAGCGCAATCAAAGGTGACATATTTTTCTGCTGTACTTCTTTGCTTGTGATTTGTCCTTCCGTCAATAAGGGAACTTTGACCAAATTCCACGTTGGGCTTTGTTCTACAGAGACTTTGCCTTGCCCATTAGGATTCCACAGAGATTAACACGATTGTGGCTAGGCTAGAGGTATCAATAAGGCGGGTTTTTTTGCCGGTTTGTCTAAACCATCCCATTTGTAAATATCCGGGTTCATACCCGTCCCATTCCGGGGAAGGTTTTGCAACCCCATCCCCATTTTGTGGGTAATATCCGCCCCGTACATCCAACACTATTATACCTAAAATTTGACGTGCAAATTTTCAATTATAACACTAAACGAACCTACTATATCATAAACGAACCTATTATACCTAAAATTTGACGTGCAAATTTTTAATTTAATTTCTACTATTTATTTTCTCGAGTTATCCTCACTATCATTGATAGGTTACGATTTGATCCGTGTATTTTGTAATATGTGAAGAAATGCTCTTGGTGGGGTGGGTATGGGGAGGCTAAAATCATACCCGTCTCATACCCATCAAACTTTTTGCGGATTTTACCTGTACTCGCCCCTTACTCAGTCAGTGCGGGGATTCCCTGTGTTGATTGGGTCGGGACTCGGGGGCGGACGGATACCCGCGGCCATGAGTTTGATTGTCATCCCTAGTCGTGACTTCCATACGATCCGCTAATGTAATCTGTGATGCTTAGTAGTGGTGTTAGCTAAACTTAAGGCTGAGCTTATAAGTCCTTATAGAAGGTTTGGTAAACCTACTAATCTGCGAACCCACAATTGTTGCAGCTCCAAGATCTTTCTTTTCGCTTTCAAACTTTCGGAGCAAGGGAGGGGATTCAAAGTCACGTCAATAAGGCAGCCATTGGTGGCAGCCTGGGAGAACCTTGATCAAGCAAATATGGTGTAAAGAATGAATGGTTGGGTAATGATAAAACAACGCAGGATGGGTGATGCAGAGGGAAAGAAATGCTCTTTTTTGGAGGTGAAATATGTTGTAAATTGTAATTTGAACAAGAGATCGCCACCTGTTTGGCAGTCTTGTGATTTTTGACAGCCTTTTTAGGAGCATTCTTTTCCTACGTTTTTTCCAACTGTCATGATTTCATTATCAGTTTTTTTTTTTTTTTGTTCAGCCTTTGTGTGACCAACGTCAGATGTATATGAGTTTGTAAACTGTGTTTAGATAATAACTATATATATTGAATTTGATGGTTGCATTTTAAGCATCAAATCACATAACTGTCGGAGTAATTGCTTTGATAAACGTTCGAAATTAAGTCGTTGGATTGTGGCAGTATTATGATGTAACTTTCATCTAATGGAACAAAGTCTATTCAATGACAACGATGATTATGCTTATCATTCACAGATAATTCCAAAGAACAAAAGAACACAAAGAGGGCTATCGTGTTCAATGTAGTCAAAATTGCGTTTTAAAACTTAAAAACTTACGATTTTACGTTTTTAGGTCACTAAAACGCTTCTACACCAAATCTCTGTTTTTATAACTTAGGTAGTTAAAAACTCCGCTTTAAAACTTATGATTTTACGCTCTACATCACCAAAACATTTCTACATAGAAACTCGCTTTTGAGATCGGGTTGCAGAAACAGGCCAACCATTTAGGAACCCTGATGTCTGGAATGAGATTAAAAGGAAGTGGTGGAAATGGCCTTGCAGTCATTTCGCATTGGTGAAAAAGAACTTAAAAAAATAAAACAGAGAAAGTAGCAATGGACAGCAGGCTACAGCATGATTCAATTAAACATTATTATTAAGTATTCACGTTTTTCGGTGAACTCATTTTTTTTTGTATTCATTACAATTGCTTCATAACCATTATTTTAAATATGCGATTTATGTCAAAATGATGTCAATCATCACTTATGATATGATGAACAATAAAGCACATGAATTTGCACAAAAACCATTAAAGATTTACTTTAATTTAAAGGATTTATGAGTTTAGAGATTTAGGGTTTGGGTTAGGGTTAATGGACAGAACTCAAAATTGGAGGTCTAGGGCTTAGAGCAATCCGTTAATTAGTTGTTATCATATGTTATATCATCATATTACATTAAATCTACAAATTAAAATTCAAAATCCAACACCTTAACACTAGTTTTTGAGTTGGATGCATTGAACGCACTTATTTTTGTGAGTGCACCGAAGTAGTCACCCTAATAAGATTATTATTATTAATATATAAATAACAAAAATTTGCTTAAATGGTCCGATGATGGAGTGTGGGAGAGTACATCATATGAGTATGAATTGATAAGGCTTACATTTAAACATTTCTTTCCCCATTAATTCACATTTTTTAGTTGTCGATTAGACAAATTTCCTTTCACTAGGACTTACCTTGGGGGGTTCCATCTCTTATGTAAGTTTTTTTCTTAACTCGTGTTTTTTCATCTATCAATTAAGCAAGATTATCCTTTCGCTAGGGTTGATTCCTTCTAGATATAGGTTATTACGGACGATTCCCTCTAGCTAAAGGTTGTTACGGGCGATAATCTAATGGTATCTTGAGGTGCGGAGGTCACGAAGATGAGGATTGATTCAATGGTCATGCAATCGGCCCCTCCTAGCTAGGATAGCCAGTCCAATGTCACCTCAACCGATTTGCCTAACTAGTGATGTGTTCTACCTCCTCTAAACGACTTAAATCTGTCCGCACACAAGTCGGGTAGGTCGATGGTAACACATTTAATAGACAAGCATCAACTAGGTGAGAATCTAACTAGCAGAGGATGATCACCTCGACCTCAAGATAACCCTCTAGGTCATCCAATCGGGGTAAGAGGCATTCACACATCTAAACCCTAATTAGAAGCATTAAATACCCTAGTCAAACTCAATTATACCATGAACTCATATACAAGACAATGATAATTCCCTATAATGTAGGTTGCAACTAAGACAAATAATATACAAATAATCCAACACTTATTAATGTCTAAAGCACTCTTGACCTACGAGAATGAAACTATCACCTAGGTTAAGAACAAATCAATCAAAATCAAGCAATATTATGCACAAAAATCAACAAACATAGATAAATAGGTTCATAATCATGCTTATATATGACCCATACACAAACTATAAGCTAGGATTCATCTTCCATAAACAACCTAAGAGATACAAGTCATAAAGGGGAAGTGTTGAAAATCATCTTCTTCTCCTTGTATTGCACCTTCTTCCTTGATCTTTGGATGGATTGGACCTTTACCAAACTCTCCCAAAGTGTTTCCCTCTCTAAAAACTGCACAAAACCCGAATTTTCTCACTCTAGTCGACTCTCCTTCGTCAAGTACAAAAGAAGGGGTATTTATAGTCTCATGCATAGATCACAACCTAAAGGGTGTGACCCAATGGTCGCGGGGATGAGCAGGCCGTGATTGGGGTGAAACGAGGCCGAACCTCCCGAAACTTCGCGTCTTGACATCGGCTTCAAGTTCTGAGATTGTGGCCTCCATCGTGAGATCACGGCCGCGATTTTTATCGCGGTCGAAAAGCTCCTTGGCTGCGATTCAAGTGTCAAAACTTTCTACCTCTTGTTGGCTGTCTGCTGAAGTTCTAGGCTACTGCGAACATGGTCATCACCTGGTCACGGCCATGACGTGGCCGTAACTTGTGCTTTTTCTTCCCTTCTTACTCCTATGCTTCCCAATAGTGCTCGGATGAACTCCAATTGATTCCCGATTGATCCTAGATGAATATAAGTTCTGAAAATTCATCACAAATACTGGAAAAGCATAAAATACGACAAAGTGGGATTGATTTCCCCATAAAAACCTTCACATCAAGCTAACACATGCCAAAATTGATGTTTTTCAAATATGAGCGAAAATAGGCCTAAACTAACTTGATATGTGGCCTAGACATGGTGATTTAGCATGCAAATGCCTCAAGAATGAGAGCCAAATAACACCTCTTTTAGGTGTTATCAATTCCCCCACACTAAAGCGTTTGTTTGTCCCCAAACAAACATACGATTAAATCATGCTAATCGAGGCATCTAAATTCCCCTCACTTGATGTGTTTCCTAGGAGCCGGGTTTCTAGTGGCTAGGGTCGTCCTAATTCTACATGATCTTGCTTGATTTACTCGGGAAAGATCAACATAAATGTTTTAGAAGGATGGTGATAGGTGCAAGGTGCAAAACAAAGAACTTCGAAGTAGGTGAAAGACCGATGCTCTTTCAGTTCTTTGTTACACTTTCTCGAAAAATAAGAAATAACTTGTGTAATTACTACCTTACCCTTCATTAAATGAAATTAATTACAACCGCTAGATTAAAACTTAAATAAAGGGCTGAGATTCACTTAGTCATGTAATTCCGCTACCGCCTCCCATCGACAATCCCACCACGCGCGGCGGCTTGGGATTGATGTCGCCTCTTCTTCATCGATCAAAGGCCCTTTCAGTTTCTCCGATGCGCTGCGGGTGTTCATTCGTGAGCTCGAGCCGCGATCAGAGTTGCGGTAGCACTGCTGCTTCGTCCGTCGGAGTCGGCCATCGCCTCCAGCTATCGATCCGCTGTGATGTTCTGGGTGGCGATGGTACGCACCAAATCCTTCAATGCAGAGAACCACTGCTCGTTCCTCGCCTCTGTTGCCGCGAAACCCTCTGCCATCATCCTAGTGATGTCGTTGACTTTGTGGTCTATGGTTTCGACCCGCTCGACCAAAGGAGTCATACGACCCTCAAAGCTTCCGAGCCGTTCCTCCAATGCGTGCAATCGTGGGTGAAGAGGGTCGAGTTCTGACCCTTCGATGTTGCTGGTAACCCTGGACTTCGTTGGTTGCTTACTCGTCTTCCTAAGAACTGGACTTTGATACCAACTGTTATGGTGATGTGACGTGGGGGATGACGTTTTAGTACTCGAACAGAATAAAAGACTAAAGCAAGAATTCTCAAAGGAAATAACAAAGAAAATAGTGAATAAAAGAACAAAAGCTAAATATTTGGGTTCCAATATTCGTATGCATTAAACCAGAGGATGATTACATATTTATAGGCTAGGAAATCCTGCAATCCCTTCTCCTTTTCCTACTAGGTCGGCGCCTTTTTTTCCTTTCCTAACCAAAATATTAAACCTATTCTACAAAGAAACAAAAATCAAATCCTAAACACATACGTACTAAAAATCTTAATTCAACGCAAACAAGTAAACATAAATAAATAATACCAAAAGTACCAAAATAATATCTGAGTACAAACTAATAATAAAAATACTAAAGATACGCAAGTTCAGTCTTCTACGAAATGCTATGATGACCCGGTCTGGGAACTCAGAGAGAAGGAGCTCGTGAGAACTGAGAAATTAGTCATATGAATAGAATATGACACCTAGAAGTCATGTAGAAGAGCGGTATTATATATGAGGAGTGCAGTCTCTTGTCACGTTAGGTGACAAAACACCAAATTTTGGGTTATTCACGCCATATTTGCGTTATTTACGCCATATTGTGTCATTCACGTCATATTTGTGTTATTTACGTAAGAGTGTTGATTATTCACGCAACCAATACTCAGTGGCGGATCCAGGGGGTGGCCACCCCGGGCCCCGGCCCAGCCCTCCCCTGGATCCGGAACTAGTGTATCCCTTATGAGTTTATCGATTTAACCATTTGGCCCAGTGTTATTTTATAATAAAATTGTGTGTAATTAGGAAAATGGGTAAGATGAACATATTCAAATCACAACTCTAAATTTAGCATGAAAATTCTAGCTCCAATAATTCTCATATAAATAAAAGCAAACAATGAAACCTAAAATTCTAAAACGTAAAAGACTAAAAGAAATATGAGGTTTATTCTCTTAAGAAATTACTTGAGCAGCTATTGAAAATAGGAATTGATTAGTCGATTGTGTTGACATTTGCGCAACAAAATGAACGATGAATTTCTCTCCAATTGGTTAACTATTTTATCTTAAAGAGAGTATGCTATTGATGTGGATGTAAACTCTATTATTGATGAATTCACTATATTAAAATTTAAAAGATTTATGTGTACAATTGATATTGTAAAAAAAACTGTGATTTTTTTACGATATCTAATTTTCTAATGAAATGCGGCCCAGTGCTACACTGTGTCCTGGATCCGCCGCTGCCAATACTGTTAGGTCACCCCACCTGATGTTTATTCATGCACATTGTTAATTATTCACGTCGTTGTAAAATAAAATTTTAAACTTTGAAATATATAAAAAAGGATGTCATTGTGTAGATTATGATCAACGCAACATATTTTTACATATTAAATGATAATCCAAATTGAATTCCATAAAATATAGCCAATACAAATTATTAGGGAGAAAAAGTCCATTTACGTGAAAAACTTACACTCTTATGTAAATCACCATAGTATTACGTGAATGAACATAAAATAGCATGAATAAATACAAAATGACTTAAATGAACTGGCCTTACGTGTTCTATCACCTAACCTAACGTGACAAGAGATGTTTTTCATATATGAGAGCTAGCTGGCAGCTGCAGTCAGCACTCAGCAGGTCAGAGGAATTAGTTTCTTCCCTACTTTGACTTGGCTCTCTCTTCTCTTCCTTCCGTGTAGGGAAAGGTCGTATTATTATACTAAGATGCATGCACATAGGAACCCCAAATACATTATAGAACTAATCCATTGAGTACAAACTTCCATCGGATCCCTTTCTTGGGTAATTTTATCTTTTTGGGTTCCATCATTTGCGTTTTTCTTTAAAGTGTGGTATTGATAACCTGATCCTCATCAACTTTAAAAGTGGGATGATTGATGATAATTTGCCCCACATTCATGGCTAGTATCAGACCAAATCGAACCATGATCATCATCTCAATGAGTTACTAAATATCTTCTTCTACGCTACACTGGTTGATTGAGTTCATTAGACTTGAATCCCACTGTTCCTGCCTCCATTTGAAGTTTGAACCCAACAAGATGCTAAAGAAAGCATTGGCAGAAATGCTGCCAAGGAAAAGATCATTCCTTTCCATCTACTTTGACACCAAGGAGCATAAAAAAAAAAAATCCATCAGTAGGCTTCAAGTGCCACTTCTACAACTTAGACAAGGTGGAGGCACACAAGATCTGCAGCAGCATTTTCCAGACAGGCAATACTCATCTTTTTCTTTACAAGACAACCCTTTCCTCTATTGCTGAATCCCTTCTTTCGACTTGCTATTTCGTTCCTGCATCGCCACCTTGTGTGCATATTAGGTTAGGCATCCCAGCTCCATAGTTTGGACCAGCCATTGCAGCAGGCTGAATCGATCAAGTTGCTGCAGCTCACCATCCTTTGCCAAGCATGGACATGATGTCGTCACTGGACGCATGTCCAAAGGACGACATATTATGTTTCCTACCTTGCTTTCTCCTTATACCGCCGAGCTCTCCCTGAATTCCTCCTCCTTTTGCTGGCTTCCCCTTCTTGAAATCCTTCCGAGTTTTCACCTGTCTTCATTAACATGAAGCCGAATGTCACGTTTGTGTTAATCGTTTAAGTTAAGATGCCCAATCATACTTCAGTTTTCGTATTAAGCATGTGAACTGGAAACAATGCAAGCTCCTAATTCCGAAGACTACACATGAATTGAACATGTTTTTATGGCAGAGGAATAGTAGTTCTCTTCCTTGCACGAACTCATAGGCACAAGTACCTTGATGCTTGGAGCTCATGGAGGGCAATAACCTCAATTCCTGAAGGACATGAACTATATTTGAATACAATGTGAATACAGAAGTGCCCATTTGTTCTGCAACACACATCCAAATTAGTGACTCAACACTCACATTCTGTATCACTTCAAGCATGGTCTAGCTTAAGTTACCAGGAATTCTAACACTCCAGAACACCAAACCAAATCATGCAGTCATTCAGTGTGCATCAATAGTTCTATAGAGCGGCCACGAAAGACAAGTGTGGTAGCTTACCCCTAGAGAGAAGTTCTGAAAGTGAGAAGCTTGGTTAAGTGAATCATTCATGCCAGTATTGCCCATCTTGAGCTCAGGATTGCTGCCTGCATAAGGCAAGTCGGAGCTCTGGAAGTAGGAAGTGTAGGAAGCCGACGAGGACGTTGATGATGACGAGGAACCATCGAGGGAGGAAGAAGCTCCAAATGGTGACTCAGTGTCACCTTGGAACATTTCATTGAATAAATCTTGCAGCTGTTCAAAACTCTCCTCCCCACTCTCCTGCCATTTCCCACACATTTCCAAAGGAGAATTCAATCAATATGCTAAAGCCGTGGTTGAAGCAAGTCCTGAACTTGGTGCTAATATGGTGAAGAAAATTTTACAATTGGGATTCTGTTAATGAAAGAGACTGAGGAGCTTACATCATGAGTAGGCTCCGTTTGGCTCATCATGACAGCCATTTCATTCAGGAAATCACCCATTCCCTGCACATAACACCATAATCAATGGTTAAGAGTCAATCTTTCTAGCTGAAAACAAATCAAATCAAAGCAAACCAAAAGGCTGCCTTTATGTTTACAAGGAGCAGACACGAACTGAAGCATGAAACCTCAAGGAGATTATTACATCTTGGTCATCATCATCATCATCATCATCATCATCATCACTGTTGTAGGCTCCGACGTCGTATAGGAACCTCTTGTTGGCATCAGACAGAACTGTGTTTTTTAAACAAAGTAACAAAATAGAAGAGTTGGGAATTTGGGCAGAGAAAACATGCAGAAGACAGAACCAGACAAAGAAGAACCCACCAGAATTCCCCCCCAACTTTCTATTGTCAAATCCCTAATTTTTTTAATATAATTCAAGTTGCCAACATGATGTGCCGTATGGAGAGCACAATTCTGGTGTCCAGAGAGCACAATTTTATTAATGATTAAGACGGTTTTAAGGAAGGAGGAGGGAAGTACCAGAATAGGCTTGCTGAATTGCCTGGAACTTGCTGTTGGCTTCCTCAACATGCTTCGAGCTCCCTGAACCTGAACAACGATCTGGATGCCATCTCTGAAAATTCATCCCCAGCAAATTTAAACAAAAGGCCAAAATCGTTAGACAATGTTGACCCACCACCCAGATTGACACGTTTCATACAGAAAGTTTCAAGCTTTGATCAACCCTTCTCATAATCAAGCTGGAATTTAAGTTAAATGGGACAAATTACACGCGCATGCAACACCATGATCAGAAAGAAAAGGGTAGAAGAATAACCAGAGCAAGTCTTTTGTAGGCATTCCTTAGCTCAGTGGCAGAGCATTCCTTGTGCAAACCCAGAACTCCATACAAGTCCCTGCCACTAGCTCTGCTGCCATTCTCTCCCAGATTTGCCATTGTTGCTTCCTTCTGTTCTGTTTCCGTTGTCAACAAAGTTCAATCCTTTACCCCTTTTTCTTGTCGACAAATTACAACAAACATGAAAATGTGCTCAGAAGAATCGATTTTGGGTGGTGGAAAACCTACCCAGCAGCTCAGCTGCTCTTTCATTTTTATACTCTGTTCTAAATCCAGATTACAGATAATCGACAGGTGTCACCGTAACATTGGTTCACTTTAAACAAACAGTGATTAGTTAACGGCTAACCTGTCTAGACAAAACGGTGCGCAGCACCTTACATTAAAACAGAATAAGAAACGTCCTATGGAGACTGAAACGTTTCCTTTGGCCTTCGTCTTCTTTCTTCTGCAATCCTTTCTTCATCTGGATTTGATATCATGAACCAATTCTGTCACCCCCCTTCAAGTTGAGGAAGGAAGAATGACTCCCAACTTGACCAACAGTTCTTTCAGCCTTACATGATGTAGACCTTTAGTAAACAAATCAGCCAGTTGGTTCACAGTGCTAACATGCTGCAACTTCACCAGACCTGTCTTAATTCTTTCCCTTATGACATGAATGTCAATCTCTATGTGCTTAGTTCTCTCGTGAAATACAGGGTTTTCTGCAATGTGGATTGCTGACCTGTTATCACAATATATTGTGATTGGTGTAGGAACTTGGACACTTAGTTCTTCCAGCAATCCCTTCAACCATTGAACCTCACAAACAGCCATAGCTAGTGCCCTGTATTCTGCTTCTGATGATGATCTAGACACAGTTGTCTGTTTCTTAGTTTTCCAGGTTAGTAAGGACTTACCCAGGAAGGTGCAGTACCCTGTTGTTGATCTCCTTGTATCAGGACAGCTAGCCCAGTCACTGTCACAAAAACCAGTGAGCTTCAACTCAGAAGTGCTGCTGAAATGTATCCCTTGGCCTGGTCCATTCTTCAAGTACCTAATAACTTTGAAGGCAGCTTGAAGATGTTCCTCGTGGGGATTCTTCTGGAATTGGCAGAGTTGTTGTACTGCAAAGGTTAAATCTGGCCTTGTGATGGTGATGTAGTGTAATCTGCCTACCAACCTTCTGTACTGTTCAGGATCTGCTAATGGAGTTCCTTCTTTTCCTGACAACTTCACTTTGTAATCAGTAGGTGACTGACATCCCTTTGCATCCAAATACCCTGTGTCTCTTAGAAGTTCAAGACAGTATTTTCTTTGGCAAACATTGATGCCATCTGCTGTTCTTGTAACCTCTAATCCCAGAAAATATTGTAATGGACCAAGCAATTTGATTTTAAACTCCTTGCTCAAAGCTTTCTTTACCTGATCTATGTCCTTCTGAGCATCTCCTCCCACAATAATATCATCTACATAGATCAGGACCACTACAATCCTTCCATGAACCCATTTAGTGAACAATGAGTAATCTGATGCAGACTGACTAAAACCAGACTTCATGAGAAAGCTAGTCAGCTTAGCAAACCACTGTCTGGACGCTTGCTTGAGTCCATAAAGTGATTTCTTAAGCCTGCATGCCATTCTCTGTGATCCAGTAGTTTTAATCTCCATCCCTGGTGGTATTTCCATGTAAACCTCCTCATTTAAATCACCATGGAGGAATGCATTTGACACATCCATCTGCTCTAGTGTCCAGTTCTTGACTGCTGCTATGGCCAGCAATGCTTTCACAGTATTTATCTTAGCAACTGGACTGAATGTATCAAGAAAATCTATTCCATACACTTGTGTAAAGCCCTTTGCCACTAACCTTGCCTTATACCTCTCTATTGAGCCATCTGGTTTGAGTTTAATTTTATAAACCCATTTGTTTCCTATGACCCTTTTTCCATCTGGTACTGGTACAATGTCCCAGGTTTGATTGTCTTCAAGTGACTGACATTCTTCCCTCATTGCTCTTCTCCAGTGTTCACTCTTGATGGCCTCCTTATAAGTCAGTGGCTCATCCTGTAGAATAACACTTAATGCATACAATCTGTCTGCCTGATTCAATTCTTCCAGATTGTATTCAATGGGGAATCTTGTTACTGTGGCATTGACACCAAATCCTCCAAATGTAAGACTGGGATCAAGCTCACAATCATCAAACTTCTTTGGAATTTTATAATTCCTTTTTGGTCTCACAACTGGTTCATAATCCTGTTGTGGTGCCAATTCAGGCTCAGGCTCAAACATGTCATCCCCCTCTTCAGCCGAGGCTGATTCAGGAGAATGAGAAGATGAAGGCTGAGACAATGGTGAAGTAGGCTGAATTGGTGGAGAAGGGATAAGAAGATCAGGTGCTGATGAAGAAGTGTGTGGGGTAGAAGTAGTGGGAGTGGTGTCTGTTTGAGAAGTAGAGGGTGTAGAAGAAGAGGTTTCAGTTCTGTAAGGAAGGATGGACTCATAGAAGGTCACATCCCTTGAAACAAAAACTTGCTGAGAGTTGAGATCCAAAAGCTTGTAGCCTTTGATCCCATGAGGCAAGCCTAACAGGATGCACTGCCTAGCTCTAGTGGCAAATTTAGTTCTCCCATGTGCAGGGGTACCAGCATAGACTAAACAACCAAAAACCCTCAAATGTCCAAGGAAAGGAGGTTTGTCATACAAGAGTTCATATGGGGAACGATTAGCTAGGACAGGAGTAGGCAACCTGTTGATTAAATAGACTGCATGTAAGATGCAGTCACTCCAAAACTGAAGAGGTACACCAGACTGAAACCTAAGGGACCTAGCCACATTTAAAATGTGCTGGTGCTTCCTTTCAACACGAGCATTTTGCTCTGGGGTATAAACACAAGACATCTGGTGTTCTATACCCTCAGCTGTGTAGAAATCACACATGTTGAATTCCTGGCCTTGGTCACTTCTGATGGCCTTAACAGTAGTATTAAACTGATTCTTAACCAACATACAGAACCCTTTCAACAAGTCTCTGGTTTCATTCTTACTATGCATCAGATAAACCCAGACAGCTCTGGAGCAGTCATCAACAATTGTAAGAAAATAGCTATAGCCATCATAAGACACAACTGACAAAGGACCCCAAATATCCACATGAACCAATTGAAATAACTTAACTGCATTGTTAGTGCTAATAGGGAAAGGTAGTCTCTTGTGTTTGGAGAAATGGCAAATATTACAATGATCAACTTTAGAAGGAGTTACAGAAGGGTCAACATGCTGTAACATACTAAGCCTATCATTGCCAGGGTGGCCTAATCTCCAATGCCACAGATCTACATGTTGAGGAGTGAAATTAAATGCACTGGCAGCTTGACTTTGGTAAGTGGAGGGTGAATTTGGTGGCTGAGTTGTGAAGATGAGCTGGTAAAGACCTCTAAGTTCTCTTGCTAAACCAATCGTCTTCTGGCTTAGAAGGTCCTGAATGTGGCAAAGATCAGATTGAAAAAGTAAGGAAATGGGAAAATCATGAGTCAATCTGCTCACTGAAACTAGATTGAATGTGAAGCTGGGGACAAGCAGAACATTATACAAAAACAGTCCTGAGGGCAGCTTTACAGTTCCTATGTGACTAACTAGCACTTTGGAAGAATTAGGCAGATGAACAAAAGTGTCTGTGACTGCACTATGGTCTGTAAAGAGCTCTAAGGAACATGCAATATGATCTGATGCTCCAGTATCTAGTATCCAGAATGAGCTTTGAATGTGCAAACTATCTATAGAAGAGAGCACATATTTACCTGAGAAGTTGGGGAAAGGTGGTAAACACTGAGACACAGAGTAGGCTTGGTGTTTGATTGAAGGTGAGGTGGGAGGTGAGGGACTGGAGGTGGGGGTGGAAGATGGGGGATTGTTAGCACCAAAATGCAGCAAGTACCTCAACCTGTTCATTTCTTCTGGGGTGAATCCAGTGGCAGAAGGACTTACAGTGCTGTCATTTGAGTAGCTACCATCACTTTGTGTTTCATTTCCACTTGAACTGCCCTGAGAAACAGATCCTGCAAACCTTGGATTCCTGTTTGGCTGTCCTCCCTTTTGCTCCAGTTCCTTGTTCTTCCTCTTAAGTGTCCAGCATTCTTCTATATTGTGACTTGACCTCTTACAAAACTTGCAATATTTTCCCCCTGGGTCTCCAGGTGCCCTATCATTAGATTCAGCAGACTTCCCAGTATCTCCACTCACTGCAAGAGCAATGGTTTGTGCTTTCTTCCCAGAAGAGTTTGCTTTAATCTCTTGCTCATGCTGCAGGAGATCATCTACTGCATCAGCCACACTTGGTAATGGCTTCAACATGAGCAACTGCTTCTTAACTCCCTC